CATGATCATCCGTGGCGGACACTCGTGTTCACGATCATCCGCGGTGGATACTCGTGTTCATGATCATCCGTGGCGGACGCTCGTGTTCACGACCATTCGTGGCGGACACTCGTGTTCACGATTGCTCGTCACGGATGACGGCCATCGCGGCCATCCATTCGTTTCATCGATGCCCTCCAACTGGCAGCACCTTGGGCTTCCTATACCCTTACCCTGAAGGCGGACGTAGCTGGACGACAGTGATGATGAATCAAAGTCGGGTGATATGAGAGGCTAAGTGGTGATCCGCCGGCAAATTGCAAGCCAGTCCACAGTTATCGCGCCCGAAATCGCTAAAGTTCTTGAAGATCGCCGTTCAGGCGGCGCCGCCCATCGCTCAGCGTTTATCAGCAGGCGCGCCACCGCCAGTGGCGCTGCACTCACAGCTTGGCGTCGGTGCGGTCGGCGACCCTCAGACAGTGGCTGAGCCCTGCACCCGGACGCCGACCAGGAGGTGCACCGAGGCCCCTTTTGGACATGTGGGATTAAGATGCAATCACAGGAGCTGTTCGTGGCTGAATTCCTGTCAAATTGCAATGTGGTTTGTCAAACGACGGTGCCTCACTGGCGGGAAATATTCTCAGGCAAATAGCAAAACTGACAATAGTAAGCGGCACGTGCTAGGGATTCCATGCAACCAATGGCACTTTGCAGTTCGTCAGCTTCCAGGGGTGACACCCGATCTGCCTATAAGCTGACAGAGCACGCCACGACCTATTTTAAGAGCGCATCACTGAGGGGATCGCGTACCTCCCTTTAAGGAAGAAAACGAAACGCTGACATGCTCGAGAAAAAATACGGACACGCTCAACAACCGTCTTGCCGTGCGCCGACAGCATAAACTACGCCATTCCACGCGGCGCTGTTAATTTTCCGCGGATCATTATAACGAAAGACATGTAGTTTTTGCGACAGACGAGCATGGAAGGTGTGGAGTTTCGTGATCTTGTGGTCAGCAGAGGGAAACATGTGTCCTCATTTGATACTGACAAGCAAAAAGCCCATTCTCCAGGCCGACTGTAGCAAGATAAATTGACTCAACGTAACATTGTCAGTCACCGAAGGCAGACAAGCATGAAACATGTGAGTCACGAGCGCCATGACCCGCTGTCTTCAAAACTCAAAATTGTCCTTTTTTGGCTGCTGACACAGTAAAAAGCACTTTTTGATCGGATCACGACAAAATGTACACTTATCGACACGCCGCTGTCGACATGGTAGAGGCAAACAAGCATTGGACGTATACGTCATGCACATCGTGACGAGGGGGCCAGCGAAGACCAACATTGGTCAAAATGTGGTAAATGTATTGTGCAGGCTTGCCAGCTGCAAAAGGACAACGTTGAACTTAGGTGGCTGGTGGGCCATAACGTTCATGACTCATTTGTCCCACGCTTTTTGTTCACGTTTAATCGATTAGCGCACGTCAATTTATGTGCTTTGTATTGTGATGCGAGTATGTGTTTTTGTAGATGATTTTGGGCTTCCTACAAGTTGATATTTGTTATGTGATTTTGTAGCGTGTCCGCAGCCTAACCGTTGACCCCGACGTCCGCGCCGTGCATTTCACATGTGTGCCTGTGTTGGGTAAACTCGCCATGGCACGTCAATGGCGGGTGTTTTATTACCATCCAAAAAGCAGAGGTGCTTTTTAGCGTGTTAGCAGCCGCAGCGCGCGATGCTGAGCTTCATTCGGCCGCGGGACACGACGTTCACGACCCACACGTTCCATGCGCGTTTGCCTGCAGTAAGTCGACCACAGCGCGCCGGATTGTGCTCTTTTTGCAATCAAAGTACGGGCAGGTGGCTCTTGAGCTTGTTAACATTTTCTCTTGAGTGTGACAGCATTGTACATTCCTCATTCACGTAGGAAATGCTTGTGTGTGGCTCGTTAGAGAGGAACATTATATATTAGCTTGATGGCGTCAGGCTAGCTACACGGTGGCCGTGTTGCGTTTGTGCAGTCGTACGGCAGGATGCTGGTTCTTAGGTGTTATTTGGGCAGATGCCCGCAGCGAAATGTGTTTGTTGAACCGCCATCACGACCCCGGGATGGTGGATTCAGATTGTATTGTGTTTGGCACGGAACGGGATTCAAATTACTGGCTTTCGAACTATTGTTTTTTGCATTTCGCATTTTGTGTTCGAGCTAGATCTACCTGATATGGGTTAACACCGATGAGCCAAAAATGGCTACCAGGCTTATCGTGCGACGCTTTTTTAGTCCTGTGATCTATGACGCTTTTCAATACAAACATCCAGGACTGAAACGAAACAATGCTGTGTTATGTTTTCAACGTAACACGTATGAAAAATGTCACATGTCTAAATTGTCACATAAAAAATGTCACATAATGTCTAAATAAAAGATTACCCATAGTAGTATTCTCAAGACCACTATGAACCACTGACGTCAATACCCCGCATACCACCCGAGATGGTGTCCCAGTGCAACATCTGTCTCCAAGTTCACTGTCACAGTGCGCCTCCACAGCCCGTATCCCATTGCACTGTCCAGTCTGTGTCGCAGCACACCAGCACAGTTTGTGTCGCATTTGACCGCCACGGTCCGTGTTACATGTAGCAGTACACCTCTGCAGTCTGTCACAGTGCACCGCCCAGTCCGCGTCACAGCACATCGCCACAGTCGGTGCCACGTTAGACCGTTACGGCCCGTGCTCCAGTGCAGCGTGACAGTCGGTGTGCCAGCCGGCCACGGCCGCGGCTGTGGTGTCCGGCGCGCCGCAGCGGTCGGCCTGCTGGCTCGGCGTCAGCGGCGCCCCGCCGGCCTTGGCTGGTGATGCCCGGAGCCGGCTCGGCTCGGCTCGGCCCGGTCCGGCGCGGCCCGCGCCCGGCCGCCGCCGCCGCCGCCCGACGCGCGCCGCGTGGCGTGCATCTGTCGCCGTCGCTGCGCCTCCAGCGGGGCGCTGATCAGCCGCCATGTAGGACTAGTCTCCGGGCGACGCCGCGCTCGATCCTCTCGCCGTCCTCTCGCCAGACGTCCGGACGCCGCGGATGCCACAGGAACGGTGTTGTCAAGCATGGTGTCTCAATCCAACAAACTTGGCTGAATGTTCTCAGGGATGTTTTTGGGATCAGAGGCCTTGCTAGGTGTGGCCTGTTTTGAAGTCCGTGGCCACAACCCAGCATGATAATTCCAGGCTACCGAACAACATATTTCGAAAGATTTTGACGCGCCATGAAATGTTATGAGGCAAGCCTCTCGTGCCATTCTGACTGACCAGTTGTCATCTGACCGTAATCGACGAATTACACAGCCATGGTTGCTGTCGTCATAGGCATAGAAACGGAAGGTCAGGGGGGCAATTGCTCTCCCCCTTTTCGTGATGGCGACGTAGCGTAAGATCGGCCTCCGGCAAACATGTTGCCCGTCCCTTTATGGGACGTGTCTAGGCCCTTGGCCAGGTCTCAAGCACATGCTTAACGTACAGCGGTTGAAAATCCTGTGCGGTGCGATCTGCGCTCAAGGGAACAGCGAATATACCACTCACGTACCCTGTAAATAGGTGCGAGCAATGTTCTCACTGCAACGGAAAATGGTCCTTGTGGCGTCTCGGACCCAGCCGATCGTACGGTTCTCTCATATCAACTCGCGATATCCCCTTCGCTGGATGCAAGGTACGCACCCAGATCCGCACTAAGCCGCAGCGGACGCGTCTGTGCGGGCCTACTGTCTCCGAGGCGGCGCCGCAAAGTCGTCAGAATGAGGCGTTCAGCCGGACGCACGGCGCGCGCTACCAGAACCGCCCGGACGAAAAACTGCGCCGGAGCTTGAGCTATGTCTTAATCTGTGACCCATATTAGGCAGTGGCGAGGGTCGGCCACCGAGCGGTCGCGAGCATCTCTGTGCCGGCTCAGCCCGGCCCCGTGTTTAAGGTTTTCCACAGGGCCCCTGCTCAGTGGTCACGCGCCTCTGCACCGGCCCGGCTCGGCCCCGCGTCTGGGGCCCTCAACGGGACCTCTGCTCAACGGCCACATGCCTCCGTACCAGCCCAGCCGGGCCGTCTGAGGCCCTCCACGGGCCTCTGCTCAGCAGCCACATGCCTCTGTACCAGCCCAGTCCGACCGTCAGAGACCTTACATGGGGCCTCTGCTCAGCAGCCACATGCCTCTATACCAGCCCAGTCCGACCGTCAGAGCCCTTACATGGGGCCTCTGCTCAGTGGCCACGCACCTCTGTACCAGCCCAGTCCGGCCGTCTGTGACTTTACGCGGGGTCTCTGCTCAGTGGTCACATGCTTCTGTACCAGCCCAGTCCGGCCGTCTGTGACTTTACGCGGGGTCTCTGCTCAGTGGTCACATGCCTCTGTACCAGCCCAGTCCGGCCGTATGAGACCTTCCATGGGGCTTCTGCTCAGTGGTCACATGCCTCTGTACCAGCCCAGTCCGGCCGTATGAGACCTTCCATGGGGCTTCTGCTCAGTGGTCACATGCCTCTGTACCAGCCCAGTCCGGCCGTATGAGACCTTCCATGGGGCTTCTGCTCAGTGGTCACATGCCTCTGTACCAGCCCAGTCCGGCCGTATGAGACCTTCCATGGGGTCTCTGCTCAGTGGTCACATGCCCCTGTGCCAGCCCAGTCCGGCCGTATGAGACCTTCCATGGGGCTTCTGCCCAGCGGCCACGTGCCTCTGTGCGGGCCCAGCCCAGCCCGGCGTTTGAGGCCCTCCAGGGGGCCACCGCTGAGGGAACACGGTCCTCTAGGCTTTAACAAACAGACCTGCTAGGAGCATCGATCAGAGCCTTGGAAAACCTCCAAAGGGTGGGGGCCAAATGCCTACATGAGGTAAGCTTTCCAGATAACCGACAAATGCACCGCCGGCTACCTCCTTTGCACCACTAACCCGACCCCGGCCCGTTTTCAAGCCCATCACACCGACAACAAGACCGCTCTAAAATGTGAGAAGGCCGAAGACGGAAAAATACATCGAGAAACTTACGTGGATATTGGCGTCGGGTATATCTCGTAGTATTTTTCGATGGGCTGCCGGCGCACCATGGCGCTGTGCTCCTCTTCTGAGAGGGTCATGAATCCGGGTGGCAGATCAGAGGCGGCCGGCACCTGGGGCATGACGGGGGTCGGCCCCACCAGCGACACGCCGGTCAGCGGCGGGTGAACGTCACACATGCCGCGGCCGCTCGCTTCCAGTCTCGCACACGGCCAGCAGGCGACGGGCCGGATACCAGCAAACGAGCGCCGCCGCTGGCTGGCAGCCGGCGGACCGGCGGTGACCTGGCGAGCGGGCGAGCACCGCCTCCGGCTGGCAGGCGGCGGTGACCTAGCGTCGGCGCCGCTTCCGCCGAGTCTTCCGGGACGGACACTCGGACGGTCGGCGGACGGCTGTCACGTGCTCACCTGCAGACCTGGCGACCAGCACTGCGCGCCGCGGCCAAACTACCCGGCAGCCCGCACCAACCTCGATGCCGCCCACGCCGCCCACCTAGCGGCCGGCGTACGAAACAGTCTTGAACACCGCTGGCGGACTTACCTCGTAGGGCTTTGTAGCTCGAGTGCCTCAGTACATTTAGTCAAATGCCTCGCATTAAGAAGTTCTTAGGCCAATGCTTCATAACGTTAGACTCCTAAATGAAGTCCATGCTATAATCGAGCGCCGTCGCGTCTCCGCCTGTCGGACGCTGACCATCTGTCGAGGGTGTTGGGCTTCACGTCCCGGAGACTCGCCCTGTGACATGGCTTTGACGGCCGATGGGCAACTGGCCAAGGCCTTCCAGCTGAAGCGGAGGGACCACACAGCATGGCACGTGACAATCGCCAGCAAAAACTACCTGTTGAGCCGCCATCGCCATAGCAGTGGAGCCGAGAGGCATGCATGCATACGCCATGGCATGACCGTATATTACAGGTGAAGCTATCCTGTCGTGAAGCGTTCCCTTGTGATGCATGGGAAGTTAAGTGAAACAAGCTGGTGCGTCAATAAAGAAATGTTGTGCAGCATCCATCACATCACTAGCATGGACACTCATATCTCGTCAAGTTCCGGCACCGATTGTTCCAGTGACGTCACGTCCTCGTACCACATGTTTATTAAACGCTGGCGTGCGGATGGCCAGGTCTAGGTCCGCGTCTCCACAACCTGTCGTTGGGAAATGCTCTAAAACCAGACCAATCGCTGACAAATATTTGGTAAAACTGCGTGGAGAAAGTGAAGGTGAAGGCTTGTATTCTGCAGACCGCTTCACATTTCTTCACATCTTCGCGTGTGGGACATTACTCACACAAAAATACATATCATGACAACTCCTTTGTCTATGTGAAGTACTGAGCGCATTGGTTCAAAGGTCTTAAACGTGGTTTACACAGGTTCTTTCATCGACAAGTCAGGACCTTGTCATATCCTCCCAGATCCGAGCGCCGCGGCAGGTACGGCGGGCGGCGGTGCGCTCGGGCCGTATCCATTCCACTACATCATGGCACCGGACTGAGGCGACAAACTAACGCGACCAGCAGTCCACGTCCACCCCCGATCTGCGTCACGTCACGTCCTCCTGCCGAAGCAGCCATCCGCGACCACCCAGATCCGCGTCACGTCACGTCTTCCTGTCGAAGCATCAGCCCGCGTCCGTCCCCGATTTGCGGCACGTCACGTCCTTCTGTCGAAGCAGCACCCCGCGTCCGCCCCCGATTTGCGTCACGTCACGTCCTCCTGCCGAAGCAGCAGTCCACGTCCGCCCCCGATCTGCGTCACGTCACGTCCTCCTGTCGAAGCAGCAGTCCACGTCCGTCCCGATCTACGTCACGTCACGTCCTCCTGTCGAAGCAGCAGTCCACGTCCACCCCCGATCTGCGTCACGTCACGTCCTCCTGTCGAAGCAGCAGTCCACGTCCGCCCCCGATCTGCGTCACGTCACGTCCTCCTGTCGAAGCAGCAGTCCACGTCCGCCCCCGATCTGCGTCACGTCACGTCCTCCTGTCGAAGCAGCAGTCCGCGTCCGCCCCCGATCTGCGTCACATCACGGTCTCCCGTTGATGTAGCGCGGAGCGTGACAGCCTCCAAACCGACACATATACACAGACTGCGGTGCGCTGCGTACGCAATGCCAGACGAGGCTAATTTCACTGCACGGACATCGCCCCAAGCCGAACATTGGAAATGCCTGACACAGTAGGCGGGGTGTTGTAGCACGGGACAGGCGTCCATTTGAGTACGCCCGACGCGTCCCGGCGCCGCTGGGTCACGAGGTGTGCGGCCCGAACAGCTCCGGCGTGACCCGGGCTGGGTCGGCAACTGGCAGCCGTCGAGGCCCGGCCAGCCGCCGCGGGCCGGAGCCAGAGCCGGTCGCAAGGTCTGCCACCCTCGACGGCGCGCAAGGAGCTGGGCCCCTCGGACGCCACGTCGCCCCGCGCGGCCAGCGCCGATGACACCGGCGGGGCCTGGCCCGGCCGGAGGGCGGCCGGTGGCGCCGAGTCAGGCCCCCCTGGCGGCGTCCGGCGGCGGCGGCGGCGGTGGCGGCGGCGGTAGCGTGACACCGGCGTGTAGACGGGCGTGGCCGGCCAGAGCCTCAGGCCAACGGAAGGTCTTGCGACAGACGGCGCAGCCGTAGCTGTCGCCGGCGGCGGCGGCTGCCGTGCACTGGCCGGCCCGGTGCCGCCGCAGGCTTCCCTGGCACGCGTAGCTCTTCCCGCACTCCTGCAACACGCGGCGAGAACATAGAGTCTACCCCGACAGGGCAAACACATCGCACGGCATTTGTTTGAGCGGGAAATGCGCCCGTGTCTCTCATCTCCTACCCCTGGTCGACAGCCTCTTGGACTGCCTCTCTTCCCGTATCTCTTTCTCCACGTTGAACGCTCTTTTCCCCTTCGTAGTTAGTCATATCACGCCTCTTCATGTTCGAACTCTGTCCCCATTCAGGCTTCCACATCCAACAGTGTTGAATCCTATGGTCGTTCTAATTTCCTCACCTGACACTGAATACGGTTTTTCGCCCGTGTGCTTCCTCAGGTGCTCTTTAAGGTGCACCTGTGCGGAGGTTCGCCTCGTTAACACCCACAACGCTTGTGAACGAAATGCAGTGACTGATGTGCAATGAAATGCAAATTCAAACATACAACGCCACCATCTGACCCCTCGTTAGTCCAGCAGCGTGCCTCACGCATCGTCCCTAAAGCATCCGTTTTTACGCGTGCCGTAGAAAATGCCGGACACGCCGAACACAATCATTCACTCATTCATACTATCGCCATTGTTACATAACGGACCCTCCAACTACGTTGTCAAGGGAGACCTGACCCAATATTTCACAAGCAAAAGCTTTGCATGTGACTGACCAAACGCGCCGCGTGTTTTTTTATCTTGACGTTATCGGACTGCACGCAAGATCCAAAACTGCTCCCGTTTTCGCGGCTGCTTGAACGGCTCACAACAAGCAAATTTGAAGGCCGTGTTAGCGTAAACGAGACAAAATCCTCATCACCAATCATCACCAGTTATTTAGCGGCGGAACTGGTGCGGTGTTGAGCCATATGGTAGCCGGCTGGCGTGCGGCTGGCCGGCTCCAGAGCATGCGCCCTCCTCTCACCTGGTGGTAGAATGCCTTGCCACAAACGTGGCACGTCAGGTGGCGCTGCTCGCCGCAGACGGAGGCCACGTGCCGCGAGTAGGTGGACGGGTCGGAGAAGGTCTTGCCACACTTCTGACACCAGTGCGGACGGGCACCTGCACCCGCGCGGCGGACAGCGTCAGACGAAGGACCGGGGTCTCCAGGCAGGACCGCGTGGCGGCGCCACTTCGGCGCGTCAGAGACGGAGCCGGGCGGCTGCGGCGAGATCAGCTGCCGCCTCCACAGCCGCAGCACTACAAGGCTTCGAATCGACCGGCTTTGCACGGGGAAGACGTTCCGAATCCACAGCTAACGTGTAACAAATGACGTCAAAACACTCGCATGAAATACAGTTGAGCAGTACGCCCAGATCTGGCACCGGCCAGCGCTTCCAAAGAGCATGTGTACCTGCACACGCTCTTCTATGCGCTTCACATCATCACACATCTTCTATGCGCTGCGAACTGGCGGCACTGGACAGTCCAACCACACTAGCAACAGTCTGTGCGTTAGGCTCCGAGGTGCGCCGACCGTTCTGTTCCGACATCGCCAAACAGATTCATAAGAAGCGTTGCCAGTGCTACGCGTGTTCTTGTCACGGGGATGCCCGACTCCAGACGTAGCGAGCTGGCACCACCAACACCGCCTGAGCTGTTGTTCGCTGCGCGAGGCATGCGTGACGCGCGGGCAGTGGGCCGCGACGGTGGGCCCGTCCATGCAGCAGAGCGCCGTTGCTTTGCCGTAATGGGCCCCGTGCAGTCTTACGTCATCAATTCATCCACAGTGTCGGGAGTGTTGCCTCGTGCATTAAAATCAGTTTGTGATCCCACGTTTTTTAAGAGGAATGTAAGCACGTCACCGCACGCCATTTTTGAGGAGCGCCAGCGACTGCAGAGGTCATATCAGCGCCCAGGAGCCGTAAGGATCCCACGCCATCCAAATGGTAACGTCGCTTTATCCGTCGGTAGCAGCACTCACCGTGCTTTTTGTCCGTACTTGCCGCAAGTTACAACGCTTTTTATATTGTAAGAACTTAACCCTCCAAGAAGCAATGATCGCCTAGATGAGCTTTGCAAATATACCTGCCCGCGTGATACTGTTGTGGACGATCATAAAAAGCAGGAGGATAGTTTAAATCACTGGGAGTGACTGAATTTCAACATGTCCCAAAGTTCATGACCCAGGGTGGGTATGCTATGTTGTACAAGTCACGCTTCACTAGGAATCCAGCACAGCTGCCGATTTTTCAGAAGACAGTGCCCAGACACCCGCCTGCGCGCTGCAACTGACCCAGGTGCCGGAGCATATGGACGCGAAGGTTGCTCCTCTTGTAGAAGATCTTGGAACAAACGTCACAGCGGGCCGGCTTATACACAGCTCTGAAATTGGGAAACCTTTTGACATGGCCAATATTGCATAACAATGCCGCAATCTGCAATCAATAGCCCTCCCTGTGCCGTAACAAAGGCAGTTACCCATAGTGGCGAGCAAAATGATGCGGTTATACCATACAGTGTCTACACTCTCATAAGTATCGCACAAACATTGTTTAAAGGCGCAACTTTGGCGCCTGAGCCGCCCAAGGTATTGTCACACATAGCCAACAGTTCCCCGGCTTTTATTAACTGCTATGTGAACATTTATACAGCCAAGAATCCGGGCAAATAAATCACCGCCGGCTGCAGCACTGATATGTGCGCTCGCGATGGTCAATGCATCGGGCCATAGCCATAATGATCGCCCATAACAGAGCAGCAGTGGCCGTGCAGCAGTCCTGAGCTCTGCAGTGTCCTGAACAGTGTCCGCGCCCCGTCACCCAGTGACTGGCCGGACAGCGGGGGCCGGTCCCGCTGAGCACGGCCGTGTCTGAACGTAGGTCGTCGCCCGGCTGACTCACTTGGCCTTCTTCGCCGCAGTGTGCTGCAGGCCGGCGGCAGCGCCCGTGCCGGCCTCGTGACCAGTCCTGGCCTGCGGCATCAGCAACGGCGGCGGCGGCGCCCGCGGCGGGAGCGGCGGCTCTTCCTGCCCGGTCAGCACGCGCAGCAGGCTCTGCTGCGCGCCGCCGGCCAGGCCGAGCGTCTGCTGCAGGCGCGCCCACCGCCGGCGCAGCAGCAGCGGCAGTTCGTCGGCCAGACCCTCGACGCGCGTTGGACAGCCGCCACAGCCGATCGTCAGGCCGTCTGGCTGGCAGCTGATGAGCAGGCTGGCGCGGGCGCCGCACACGTGGAACCGGCCCAGCAGCGACGTCACCGTCGCCAGGCTCAGGAAGACCCGCTCATGCGGGTCAGACGTCGCCATGGCCCCTGCTGCCGCCACCTGGAGCAGAGCACCCCCCATGTCTCACCAAGCAAGCATCACCCTGTTGCCTCCATTGCCAGCCTATGTGCTCATGTATTGTTTATTGTATTGGCTTGTCACAAGATTGCTTGACAGCCATACTCATGCATTGTTTAATGCATTTGCTTGTTACAACACTGAACCACAGCACTTAAACCATCACCCAAAAATCATGTCAGAGACAGTCGAGAAACATAAATGAGCACCAAGAAAGATCAGACAGAATCATCGCACATTGAAGCTTTGGTTCATTCCATACTATGCGGATGTTACTAAGGCAAGCTCCTTCACATGAGGACCTAAAAAAACACCTGTGGAGATGCAATGAAAAAATGATCATGCCTGGTGAATAACTTTGAATGAAGTCTAAAATTCATGCACAGGTATCTTGGGGGCCTTTTCCAGGAGGTGCAATTCTATTAAATACAAGCATGATGTTTGCGTGAAACTTTGAGGTTAAAATTTATGTCTGATATGTGAGATGTCACATCAACTTTGATCACCACAGTTAGAAACACCACTTGCTGTGACAACATGTCTGTGGAACTGATTTGTAAAATGTCAAGTAGATGACCCTGACCACAGCAAAATCATAATTTGGGAGGCAGGAATGTAGCTAAAATGGCTGCAGGGATCAAGCCTCCTGCTGCTGAGCCAAGAGATAGTGAACAACACAAAATAATGGTGATCTTGCAGGAATCTGATACAAACTCACCAAGTTTTATACATAATACACTATATATATATATATATATATATATATATATATATATATATATAAGTTTTATACACATAGCTATACATTTACCCCCTGCTGATGGAAATTTTGGCTACATGCCTGTTGTAAGGGTAGATTAATTGATAAAAATTGGGCAAAAGGGGTAATGAATCAGCTACTGGTGCACTCAGATGATTTATTGTATGTTAATAAGTCCCCCGAGCATACTAAAATAATCCAAAACGTATAACCCAACGACTGCAGAACAAATTATATCAAATCACTTCAGCCGGCCATTTTATAGCTTCCGGTGACGACCCCTGATATATATGGCACCGAAGCTTTACGATGTACCTAGCTGCTGGAGCTGTACATCGTTCCCTGACACTCACATCACAGAAAGGGCGGGCACCACGGAGAATCGAACCCGGTACCTGTTGTTTCCCGATGACCTCTAATTTGATCGATAGTAAACATTTCCGGTAGGCATTGCGTTTTCAATATAGACTCATGAGATGAAAATTCAGCAAGCCATGACAGGCAATTCGCAATATTTTTCCTACGCTTCACAAGTAATACACCCACGCCCGACCTTTACCTTCCAGCCCGTCAGCGTCCGGATTTCTCGTGCCTGCGCGCAACTCAAATGGTCGAAGCGGGTCCCGATGTTGACGAAAGTGGCCAATATTCTGGAGAGTTTTGTGAACAGCAGTGTGCCTTGTAATTCTTGATACCGCTGCAACCCCGTCCGTTTAACTCTACATCGAGATTGTCGCGTCTCGCATCTCCCTCTCTTTCAAATCTATGATGTGCCTCAGGGTTATTTCTATAAGTCGGAGGGCGGAGCGCGATGTACGGCATTCGTCCCGAGAGTGGAAATTGGGGGTGTCCGCAGTGCTCCCATATATATATATATATATATATATATATATATATATATATATATTAATGAAAATATATCTATCCATTACGACATGTGTTTCTATTGAATGAAAGCCCGTGATTTTAGAGTATTTTCACTACCACCCAAGATGCAACACAGCGGAGCACATGCAATGATCGGAAGAACCATGGATTTATATATTGATACTAATGAATGATGATCAGCACCGTATCTTGACCCTGAAAAACATCTGAAGAAATTAAAACCTTTTATGCATTTGGTACGATTTGAGCGATGAAGGAAAAGGAATATGATGGCCGCCAAGAGGATGAGAATGTGCCGGCGTATATTGCCGCCTTTTACTGACAGTCAAAACGGCCGATTTTTTTTAGCAAAACTGGAAACCATGAAGCATAAAATCTTAACCATTGTTGCGCCTTGTCTTATGCGCCTTGAAGGTGTGCTAGTGAGCAATCGTATTGTGTCACTTTCGGGACAGGGTTGAGCAGAGTCAAACGTTTCAGAGGCGTCAGTGCAGGGAGGGGTCTGTTTGGTGCGGTGGCTCACACTAACCATGCTGGTCTTATGACCAACGTCAGTCGCGCCGGTCCGTTGGCCCACGTCAGCCACGCTGGTGCGGTGGCCCACGTCAACAGCGCTGGCCCGGTAGCCCACGTCAACCACGCCGGTCCGGTGGCCCGCGTCAGCCCACGACGCTCGCTCCACACCCTGCACAGGTGCGTCATGTAGGCGGGGATGGCGCAGCGCATCCTGGCCGTGGATGTGCGGGTGGCCCGCGTGATCCGGGCGGCTGGGTGCGGAGGACCACCTGCTACGTCCAATGGTCTCGCGGAACCGTCCGGCCTCTATGTGGCTATGTAGTGGACGCAGGCTCGAGTTACCTCTTCGCTGTTCCTTGCATTACACTTTCCGGGGTGACTCGGAAGCGGTGCAGATTGTGACCTTGTCGTTCGGACGACCGGCCGGCCGAGAATTCGACCATACCGCCGTCGGCATGGGCCGGGGCCGTTGGCAAGACCCGATCAGTCCTGCAACGAACCCTGACATCTAGCGCCAGAATAGGCATGGGCGTTCCGTACTAGGGTGGTGCACTGGAAACGAACTAACGCGAAACGGCTTGGGTATTCCGCCTTGATCTCCATTTCCTGGCAACGTCTGCTGTTGTTCTTCCAAAGTCCAGCTCCATTCCTTTTAGGTTTTATTTACAACAATCCTAAAGGTATGCGCGTCACTGCCGGCGCAGCATACCGGGCTGTTGCCAATACCTACATCCACGGCAGAGCGCGAGTCTCACATGACGCTGAGAGGGCGGTAGAGCCATGTCAGCACCTGCGGAGGCGCACATAAGATGATCCAGAAGCGCGCCAGAAAAGGCGTGCGGATAAAGAATCCGAGTCATTATGATAATGATTAGCATGCTCTTCAGGAAAACATGCTCAGTCCAAAACACAACAACGCGAAAATACCACTCAATGCATGTTAGGCTTGCGAACCCTTTGTTGTTTGTGCAAGATATTATCATTTGTGCAACCCCAAACACGTGTGCTCCAGATACCTGATCATCACCCGGCGCATAATAAACAGACTGAAAGCAACCTTATGGAAAATACTCCACATAAATCATTGCAAAAGCACAGCACTATCTGGTAACCAATACAAAACCCAGATGTAAAAAGCTTTAAAACGTCATCATACAGGAAGGCAGCAGCCCTCACTGAATGGAAGTGTGTTGTGATTAACGTTCTTCAGCAGACGGAGCGCGTACAACACAAGATCAGCACAACAACGCCGCACAGGCCGCCCAACACTGTATAAAATGTACCTGCGTGCCAAATAATTTCTGGTCAACGAGGCTGATCCATTTACTCACTGCAAACGTGTCGGTCTAAAATAAGATTTCAAACTCCAACGAACGCACTGCAATACAAAACGCCGCCGAAGTCTCGGGAAGCTTTAAAACTCTCCCAAGACTTTCGTGTGTAGCGGGCAAATCACGACACACCTTGTGCTACAGCAGTACAGAACAACGGTCTTGGCGAGAAAGACACTTTTTCTCCCAGACTGCCAACGAAAACTGTAACAACAGCATGAAGCGTACTGGCTGTCTTTGCTGAGTTTCACTAGAAAAATAACGGCACATGTGGGTTGGTTCAAGCTGCAAGGTGCAGTCGAAGTCCCTCCCACGAAAAGTAAAACCGTGCCGCAGGATGCGAGCCTGATGACGAAAGCTTAGGTAAAAAATAAAATACCCACTCGACCGCAAAACGACCAATTGCAGAAGCTGTCACAGCGCGGACTGCTGAAGAGATACCCGTGTAAAAGGCACGGTCACTGCTGAACGGCTCCCTGGACTGCGCAAGCCACTGCAGCATCTCGCCCTGACCAATCACATGAATCCGGTGGGTACAGAGTAGTCAGCTCAGCCAAGCAAGCGCACGCCGCCAGGCGCGCCGCGGAGGAACAAAGCGCGCGGTTGTGATGCCGCTGGCAACGCCAGTAGCAGAGGCCCCTGCCAGCGCAGGCCAGTCTGCGGCCGTGAGAGGCTGGCGCCGAGCGGCACAGCTGGCGGTCGGCGGCCGCTCACACGGCAGCCATGTCACTGTCGGCGATCACCTCCACGGCCAGCTTGCCGGGCCGCCGCTCAGTAGCGTCGGCGCGGGACTTGCCGAACAGGTTCAGCTCGTACTCCACCACATTGCCGGGCGAGTTCTCGGCCAGCAGCGTGGCTTGGCCCATGAAGCGGTCCTTCAGCAGACAGCTGTTCCACACCTGGCGCACGGACGCTCGTTCAAGCAGACGGTCACCAATGCAGCCCCAATGTGGATCAGATATGATAAAATAAACTCACTTACAATACTTTTTAAAGGAGAAGACTGCTCAAGACCACACAATTTCTGTTTAGTGAATATGTTCCTCAACACGTCATTGTTTGATTACATCACCGTACCTTGCGCAGCGCTGATTGAGAGCCAACTGACGACCGTGACACATGGAAATCGTGCTCACAAATGCCTTTTATGGACGACTCAACCATCACGTCTTTATTGGCCTTGGTCGCTGTATGGCCAATTGAATGGCAGGATTTTAATTAATTTTTATAGTACCAATGATATCTGAGTGACCTTGAAATTGTCTGCAAAATTTCCGCGGGCGTGCAGCCCAGAAACTAGTGCGGTTTATATCGTCAGAACGGCAGGGCTGTGAACTGCACCAAATGGTCTTCAAGATACCTCTTTCATTTCCAAATCCCATGCAAAGGTGGAACATTCCCTTTAAGAAAGGAACATGAATGAGACGAATTGTGGCATAACAAATGCACCAAGAGCACAGCTGTCCCACGGCTTGAGCAGTCCACCTCCACCAGCGCGCTGGTGGACTGCCCAGACTGGCAGCGTCGAAGCTATCAGGTTGCAGCGCGGCGGTTTTCGCTACTATTAGTTAGGTATCCAATCGGTAGATGCCATTGGCGTCATTTTTGCAAGCGATTCAAGCTCAGATCAGTGCGGCTCTAACCGCGCGGGGCTCATATGAGTGAGCCCGGCGAGGTTAAATATCTTCACCAACCCTGAGCACGAGCACAATGGCGTCCTGTCGACACACAACAACCCGTGACTGGAGGCACCAGCACTGCGCCTAGCCGCACCTGGACTTTGATCGGCTCGTTTGCCTTCCGGTAGAAGACGGCTTTGCAGTTCCAGGTGGGGTTCAGCGTCTCCTTGACTGCAGGGGAGGTGACCTTCGTCCTGCCGCACCTGATGAGCACGTACGGGTCCGCCGCTGCGGCAGCGACACGGCACCCGGTCACCCCGGAGTCACACACCTCACACGGACACAGCACCCGGTCACCCCTGAGCCACACACCCCACACGGACACGGCTTCCGGTCACCTCGGAGCCACACACCACACACAGGCACAGCGCCTGGTCACCCCGGGACCACACGCGTCACACAGACACGGCGCCCGGTCACCCCGGAACCACGGACTTGCGTGGCGACAGCACACACAAGCCGGATTTGCCCACCGCTGCCGGCCGGCCGGCCGGCCGGGCGGGCGGGCGGGTCACATCTGTACCAAGCGGCCACTGCGTACGGGACATGATCGTTCTCTCCAGCACACAGCGCGTGTCGACTGGCAGGCCCTATCGGCACGCAGGGTACCTCAGGGTCCGCTCCGACAATACCCCACAATATCACGGAGATGTAGACATGTTGACATGTGAGACGTAGTAAAAATGGCATTCGGTCTAGTACGTGTGCTTTTACCGGGCTTAGGGAACAAATTTTGAATGGAGTGGCAAGTTCCAACTAGTTTGCACAGCTGAATTACACTCAGTCAATTAAAATAATCATTTCAACCGCTGCTTGGTTTACTTCACGGCGCTCATTTCCACCGCACGGACGGTTTGTGGATGATAATCATTGCTAGATGTGCCACGGAAAGATAGCCTGACTGGACTGATCTCAATTTAATCCGTTTTTGGACGTGACGGAACCAGAGGAGTGACCGCCTGCGGCCTGCAGCGCCGGCGGCAGCCGAGTGACGCCCGCCGCGGGCCGCGAGCCGCGTGACTCACAGCCCAGCGAGTCCTGCTTCTCCAGCCCGGTGGCGCTGACCACCTTCACCACCACGACGCCGGCGGGGGGCGTGAAGCACGGGCAGATGCTCGGCTTCGGCTGGTCCTTCAGCAGCTCACTGCGGTCGCGTTACGTCACACCGGTCATCGGGGTCACAGCTGTCACCGGGCTCACGCTAGTCACGGGAGTCACAGCTATCACGGGGGTCACAACAGCGACCGGGGTCACTGGGGTCACAGCGGTCACGGGGTCACAGCTGTCACCGGGCTCACGCTAGTCACGGGATTCACAGCTGTCACGGGGGTCACAGCAGTCACCGGGGTCACTGGGGTCACTGGGGTCACTGGGGTCACAGCGGTCACGGGGGGTCCACAGCGGTCACGGGGGTCACAGCGGTCACGGGGTTCACAGCGGTCACGGGAGTCACAGAGTTTACGCGCAGCACGAGCGTCACCCAAGTCACGGGAGTAAGGGAGGCGGTGACGGCCTCGCGGGCAATGACGTGGTAGAAACGGCCGAGGTGTGGGTAGAAGCAGGGGAAGCCGCCACTCCACGGCTAGGGGGCAACCAGAAACCTCGGGAAGGGGCCATATAACTGGCCTGGGAGGGAGGGGGGAGACAAACCCGAACATGCGACTTGAGTGACCAAACAATTCCAACAATAGATTAGGTTTATCATTGACGCGAAGCGAGTACACGAGGCTCCAAGCGCAGGACGGGTGAGGGGACAACGGTCCCATGTGTGTCCTGGCCGAAGACCCCGAGGCGGAGCACACCCTAATGATACGTCACCAACTACATCCGTACCACTAAAAGGATAGGGTCCACCAAACAACACTGTTTTTGTTGCATATGAGAAAGACAGTATAACATAATGTGCAAGAGGTAGCTTGAGCACACTAAACACAGCATGACTGGCTCCAAATTGCAAGGATAGTAAGGATATTGCAACAAGGATAAGGATTGCAAGGATAGGGTCCACCAAACAACACTGTTTTTGTTGCATATGAGAAAGACAGTATAACATAATGTGCAGAGGTAGCTTGAGCACACTAAACACAGCATGACTGGCTCCAAATTGCATCTGAAAAAAACTGCGCAAATCCTGTGTCGAAACTGCACCTTTCAGCGACACGAAGCACATGTCCTGATTCGTAAGGCTTCTTTTCCTGCCAGCTGCGGGCTCTTTACAATGCGAACTATACCGACTTTTGGCTTCAAGATGACGCGCACATCGGTTACGGATAATGCGGAGGCATTCTCATGCTGTGGTGATGCGGCGCAGCGAGCCCCCTAAAAAAGACTACATGCCAAAATGTGTGTTGCTCTGATCCGTGTATGCTCAAGAAGTACTTACTTAGCATCTTTCAAGTCTCACTTTAGAAAATATATCACACTCGAATTGTTTGGCTCAATCTCGTCAACGCAATGCATGCTATTGTATGACTATCTCACTTTCGAAGCATTTCAAGTCTAAGTGCGGCGAAATTCTCGTGCTATTTGGCCTCGGCCAGATTTCCCGGCCCCAGCGCCGAGATATCACAGAGGCCGTGCCAGTGGCGGTCGGCCGGGACGGCCGGCGAACGGCAGGTCCTTTGCTGCGCGGCCGGCCGCCGTCACCTGGTCACTCACTGCAGCTCGGGACTGCTGCCCATGAAGAGGCGCAGCAGAAACTCGCCGCCCTCGCCCGGCGAGAAGGTGGTCGGCACGAGCACGTAGCGGCCGCGCGGCAGCTGGTCCCGCCAGAAGATGCTGCGCGACCGGATATAGTCCGAGGTGGCGGCCGACTCCTGTATCCGGTGCACGCGGTACTTGCGGTTCATCTCCACCTGAGCACCCACATCAGCTGTTCAGGGCCACGTGGACGAGCCATAGCACCACATGGTCAGCGCGCACACGGCAAGCCACCGTTGTCGTACAGTATATTAGATATCTCAACTGCACCGCCAGAAAAATCGGTCCAATATGACGCGGATGGACCTACGTATCCGTCAAAGGTTTGTTGTGTATCTTCCCGCATTTCGCAAAATACGGGCGTGGACCAGCAACATGAGGGTCACCGCATACAGCCTGACCACGGCGCGGTCGGAGTTCGTCCTCCCCCCTCCCCTCCCCTCCCACCACCACTTCCTCTCGGCACGCGACGCTCGTCCAGTCGCGGTCCGCACCTTCATAATATGGAAACCGATGCAGAGGTTTGAGCGCGCCCCTCGTGCTTCCTCTCGCGCTGGTCCTTCTGACTCAGCCTGCACGATCACCTCCTCCACCTCGGAGTCCACGTCGAAGCGGTACTGCAGGAGGCGGGGCGGCACACGTCAGGCGGTGCGCAGCGCGCGCTCACCGGCGCGTCACCCGGCGCGGCGGCCGGCTGCACTGACCACCCGCCATGGTAGAGCTGGACCGACTCCCCCTCCCCCCTCCTGCTATGTCACTTACAGTTGACCGGACAAGCCCACCAGGCAGCGACGGTACATCTGACAACATGTGGTCTGTGGGGATGGGGGGCAGGCAAACGTACGTTTCACTCAAATCTTGTCCTGCAGCCAAAAAACACGATCGATATTTGTCTGCTAGTGTTCCTTCTTCCATTCAAGCGTGGGGCGTGCGCAGCTGCTCTCGAATCGGCCACCCCTGGCCGCAGGTGATGACGTCCGTGTGACCAGCTGTTCAGAGAACAGGCCAAGCCCGCACGACGGCCCCTCCCACCACGGTCCCGCCGAGTGCCGGCCCGAGTCGGGCCACCATGCTGGCTGGCGTCTTTCAAGCACGGCAGACGAACACCGACCAGCTTGTTACCTAATACAATAAAGAACATATACCACCTGGATCGGCTGGCAAAGTGATTCGAAACAGCGCAGCTTAGCTACGCCACACTTTGCATAGCTGCAGCCAACGAAATGGCCGATCTTTACGTAATACAAAATTAGATGTAACATGTAAGGTGACTGGCCTATGGCAGGTCAAAGTCAAGTCATGGCAGTCACCGAGGAAATTCTCAGGGAATCATTCACTCTGATACAACAATGTTGTATCAGATTGACAAAGACAAAGTAAGGTCGAAGGGGCCTTGCTGTTGAAAGCAGTTTCTGGTGTCACTCCGAATATATTGCAAAGCATTATACATTTGCCATGGACTTCTTATAGGTCAAAATAGGTCACTGTCCTAAAATGACCCAGGTTAACATTTCGGTTATAGGGACATACTGTCTAGCCTAAACTTTGTTTGCGTATTCAAATGCAAAACTCAAAGCAGCCTTATAAAATTTTGGTCACCATATCCTCCGAAAAGTCAAACAAGGTTGCTGACCTTGAATGAACATGTGGCTTTTTGCTTAGGCCAAGTATCCAGGTTTTGAGGACAATTGAAGACCAACTTGGAGGTTTGACTTTGTCCGACCTCATTTGACCCGAAGGTCCTGGCCTAGAAGGCTCAAACTTTGACCTAAGTGAATTCACGTACAGGCTACCCTGAGAATTTGGTATCTCTAGCCCTCTAAGTTCCTCGGATCTCAGGGGGGCGGAGGTCAAATGGACTCCCCCCTCCCCACCACCCGAGCGAAGGTTATCCGACAGGCCACACGGAGCGTGTTAAACGAGGAGGGAATTTGAGTTGCAGGCAGCTTTTCAGTCCCAACAAATTTCGGAAAAACGGGGCACATGTTATGAATGCTGCGAATTTGTACAGTAAAATGGTTTAATAGGTTGATAACTCAAATCGGTGTATTGTTCACTTGACAACAATAAAATACGCTTGGTTCTTAGTGTCACTGCGTATGTCATAGTACATCGTTGATTGGAGTCTAGCGCACCATGTCAGGATGGCCGAGCGGTCAAGGCGCTGCGTTCAGGTCGCAGTCCGGTTCTCCGGGCGTGGGTTCGAATCCCACTTCTGACAGCACTTTTTCCCCATTCAGCAACCCAAAAAATTTATTGGACGAGATTCGAAACGGCTAATCTTGCACCCGCCAATACAGATCACACCAATTATGGCACAAAACAAGCTTCGCTGTTTTTTAGTACCCCCCCCCCTCCCCTCAACAACGACTCGGGTTGACGTACGCATCTTTTGTTTCACCGGCGTCAGTGGCGCAGGGCGTATATTGATACACCCCGTCAGATGAGGCTAAGCCACGTCTGATGCTGTACAGGGGGGGGGGGGGGGGGCAGTCCGAGATTCCGGGGTCGAAATGCTCCAGGCGCAGCAGACCTGACCTGATTTTAGAAAATTGGGAGGTTACATCTGGCGGTTACATCCCTAGCTGGTGCCGTGTACTAACACACGCAGTCTACTCCAGTGTCAACAAATGGCGGAGGAAAAGTCAACACGAAAGGCCCATTCTAGCACGTTTCGTTCTGCTTGCGCTGCGTCTTAAATGGTGTGTCCACCTTTGGAGTATATTTCACAAGCATGCCCCAGTGAAACTTCGGAAACAGTCAACCAGAACCAGTTATGCTAAAACACACAAAATTACACCATATTGGATCCATAATTGAATAATGAACATGGCATTTTAGGTTTTGTTACTGCAGGGCATGGTCTAGTTAACATGAGCATGTAAACCAGGAAAAGTTCGACTTTCGGGATAAGTTGGACCCTGAATGGGCATAATGGGGTCAGTTACTGAGCTAACAACGAACAACTTATTACCGATAACGAGATATCGTTGACACGAACCCATTGCCTAGTTTGGAAACAGCAGGAGGGGGATGGGCGGCGTGTCGCATCACGTATAAGATCTCTTGTAGCGCAGTCGTTTGTTTGGGACAGCCGTTAGTATGGTGCCACGCGTCGGATGCTAGGAGATAGGGGCCCGAATGACTGCACTTGTATTCGCGGCACCTGTATCTCTAACCATATAACAATTCAGCATGGGTCGAAAAGCTTTCGGATCGGTCACCTGTGTTTCCAGCAGCCTATAGCGAGTTAAGTGTGTCGGCTGTAAAGATGTGTGATCTTTAACGATGACTGAATGTTGCGACACCTTTCTATTGGTAGCCTGCGCAAATCTGGAACATTTTCTGTATTTCCCGGCCCTTAGGCTTTCCACCCGACTTGCTCGCTTGTGGTCACGAGCACTGCCTTAAATCATCAAGTATCATAGCGTATCTTACTCATCACGTCCTATTGACGCTTAACCGGCACTTGTCGCCCCCTGGTGAAGGTAGACGTTTTCAGCATAAAAACTAACGCCGAAAGATCTGACGCTCCATGCCTTCTTGCTGTTGGAAAGAACGCGTTATTCTGCAAACAGTCCTTATCCTTACTACCTAGACGGTTTTCACACTAGTTGGTTTCACTTTATTTGCAAGCTCATAAGCTCGTGCGGCAGCGCTAGTTGGCTTCCAACTGACTGGTAAGGTGGCAAAATAACTCTAGCTTGTAAACAACAAAGGTTTACACCATACGTCTGAAAGCAACATCCTCCGCTCCTTAATCTCGACAACACTCGGGTTAACATATCTCCATCTCGGCTTGTTTACTGCTATTCATTATTTTTGCACAGAGTCGTTCTACCAGGTATGTGGACTTGCCTCCAGCTACTGAAAGTCAATGCTATGTTGAAGTAAGCTGTCATGTCAAGTAAACTGAGGAAAACAGCGCAATATGTCACGACTTGTTGACATATTCTTCACGTCCATCCCCTCAGGCAGATCACGATCAAAAGCACACTATTTGACGTAGCAGTCATGCTACGTTGATTGTCAGAATACGTGGCCCACGGGTCCCGCAACTTCTCCCTCACACAGAAATCATCCAATGTCAGAGAGCAGAATTCCTGCAGCGTTAAGAGCAAACTCCTGGTACAAAAGAAGGCACCAAATGATCCAGAACATATCAAAACTGTTTTAAAATTCGACTAAAAAACTGTGTTGGGCATGCTGAATCACCTTTAGATCTACATAAATTCACACCAAGCGGATTCAGCCCGCATTCCGAAGTCACGTCAAAAGGTTTAAAGAGAGTATTCCACCATTTTCGTACACGTCACTTATTGTTACATCAGACGCGTACAATTTGATCAGTAATAACAGTTTCTCGAAATTCCTCTGAATAACTAAAAATTTGTATTTGAAGTAGCTGACTGCGAGATAAATCTCATTTGACTCCATGCCCACCACTTTGAACATAATGCATTTCATTTGCATTAATTTTTCCAACGTGTGTGTTCTGTAATATTTGAAACACATCAATATGCCAAAATGTTTGTGTATAAATGCTACGAAAGCTGTAAACGCTCTGCTTAGACAAAATGATATGCGAACGTGAAGCCATCATCCCGCGAATTCAATGAAACGTTATAACTATGGCTTTGGTTTCTCCCCTTTAGCGTCTACCACAGTGGCTCTTTCCGACGCGGACTTTGGCTTTCGGAATGGGGGTATCATATGATCCAGGTGATGCACTGGTTCAAACTTCAAGCAATGCACTTCTCGGTAACAGGCGCTTGCCTGCCGGTCAATCGCAAAACGTTCTTTTCTTCGCACCATGGAAGTGCGCACCGCGGTCGTCACGACGACGTTGGTCGCGACTGCAGTGAAGGAGAGCAGTGCTCTTACACACCGCTGGCAGCGTAATTTGGACTCAAAAATAATTTTAATTGATAATCTGATTATGTCATTATGGTCGGCGGCAGTCGCACTTTCCATCGCTATCATTACGTGTAACTAGTCCTGAGGTTTCACTAGTCTTTTAAAGACATACCCAAAGATAGGAAAGGCCCTTTTTAAAGAGTTCCGACAAATCAGCTTGAAATGAAATCCAATAAATTTGAGAGCAGTGACAAATCGATTCGAAATGAAATCAAATCGATCAAAAACCATCGAGTGGGGAGCAGAACCATGCTGCCTAAGAAGGGGTATCACTGAGGCTATACCCGTCCAGTATCGGCTGTGGTGTGACCCATCAGCCCTCGGTGGCCGGTCTGTTCGGCCCGGCGGCCCTCACCTGCGGGTTGTGCAGGAAGGTGGAGCGGTTGTTGAGGCAGCCACCGGCCCGCTCTAGGGTGCCGCGAGCGCCCGCCGCCCACATGCCGAACGACCGCTCCTCCACCCACGTCTTGGAGAACGAGAAGAACGACGTGTTGATCAGCTGGCACACGGAGACGTCCGTGAAGTTGGCCACGAAGTCGTCAAACGTCATCCTGTAACGGATGTCGCGTATCAAGGGCGGAAGCGGGGCGTAACGGGCGCGCGAAGCAAGCGTTTTACCGACCAGCACTGCCACCCAATCCCCGCGGAGTCCGTTGTTCTGTCCGTCATTAGAGCAGCGCCAGACACGGCGCTACAGCTGAATTGTAACATGAAGCAATGGAGCACTGCAGCACAAAGCAATACGAACGCTAGAGATGACATAAGCCCCCAAGAGCGCCGATCTGTATTCTGTACGCACCAGAATTCTCCATCGTTATCGAAGGTCAGGCCGATCTTTTCCCGCTCAGAGTCGCTGATCTTGGACCACTCTGGCGATCTGGAAGCCACCGGACAAAACGTTACCAAGAGCATGACGTAGCATGTACTACCGCCTGTTACGGGGTGCGTGCCAAACCCGTGCAAACTTTACGGCTCACTTGTCCACATCCGAAGATTCTCAAAATTCAGTCTCCGAAACAGGCAACCCGTAGTTCCTGCCGACTCAGCGCATCTAATACTGCATGCAACGCCACTACCAGAGCGTCGCCTTTGGAGTGATGACCGGCCCCTGCCCGGGTGCACCGTCACGGCGTGCTGGCCGGCGCGGCACGGACAGGCTGACGTCTACCGAGAGCCGGCCGGCGGCGAGCACGGGTCGCCGTCGGGTCCGCGGAGGCCTCACCTGGCCGGAGGTCAAAGGCAGCATGCAGCAGGGGCGGCGGCAGCCGGCACCGGTCCGCCCCGTCACCGGCAGCAGCGGCACGGGCCCCGACAGGCCCCACACGGATCGACAGCAGGCAGGCGCGTGCAGCGTGCGGTGCACGGTGTCGGCTGGGGACAGCACGGGGCCAGAGCTCCACCACCCGTGCGACCGGCAGAGCATATGCGCGGACAAGGGACCAGCCCCAGCCTCGGCACGCCCGCCACAGCACACAAGCACCAAGCACACGTGCACACACACACACGCACACGCACGGCCGGCGAGGGCCGAGGATGCGGACGCGGTGGACTAGGTCCGGCGGCGGTGCACTGGGCCACGTTCACAAGCCCCGAGACGGGAGGGTTCAGAACGGGAGGTGTGCCGCCAGAGCAGCGCTCCTACCACAGCCGTACCGGGAGGCAGACCAGTCAGAATGCGGCACGCGCTGGGCCGGGCGCCTTACGCAGAAAATTTCGCACGGGAACGCATCTAACCCACAGCACATGTTTTCATCCACCGACGACTTGGACCGACTGTCACTCCCCAGACAGAGGCAATAGACAGCGGGCGGGTGGGCGTCGCCCACAAGCCCCAGGGACGGAGACCAAAGCTTCCGGGAGAGGGAGGGGGGAGGGGTAGCCCCTCTAAGCGGCTGCGCCTGACCCGACACCGACCGCGCTACCTCCAGTGGTTCTTGTTCGTTCGGGCTACGAATCTGAAAGTTTTGAGAACCGCGGGCATCAGACGCGGGGCCAGCTGTCCACTGCCGCTCACGGCACCAGCCTGAGCCGACCCAGTCAACCGACGACCGGACACCGGACCGGCGACCAACAAACCGGAAACGGCCTCAGGCGTCAGGCGGACACATGGATGGAACAGTGCAGCACGTGCGTCGAACACCGCAGGACTGTGCTCCGGGAGTGACACCTGGCAAATCCGAGGTTCCGCTCCTCCAACGAGACGGCGGTGAGCGGAGAAGCTGGTGAAACACACGGGTGCTGGGTGCATGGGACTACCGTCCGCTAGGGGTGTGCTTCAGTCACTGTGCACCCCGTGGGCTACGTGAACAGTGTCACGGCTGTGCAGCGTAAGGGTGCCCCTGACGGCGCCCCTGCAGGCTCCGGTGGCACGGGCAGTTCACACATGCACACGCCAGTATACGTCAGTCCGCCCGCGGGGCAGCGGTGACGGCGGCCAGGCTGCGATAGTGGGCAGCAACGGCGTCACAGAAACAGCCGTGACGGCAACAGGACTCACACAATACCTTACACTACACTACATGGCTCATACCAACGCTGCACACGCTCGCGAGCTGGGCCCACAAGCGAGCCCTCCCACCCGCACCCACTAACACAGGCCACTGTCAGCCGGTTAACTCGTCGTTAGAAAGCCGGGAGAAGGGGCGAGTACTGCGCGGTCGTCTCGAGCTGCCCGCCACCGAGCCGGGCCGGGGTGCCTGCTCCGCTCGGCCGCCGGCGTGGCCGCCGGCGCCGGCTGACGGTCGGCTCGGCGCACCTACCTCGACAGCATGTGAGACAGGCTCTGTGTCGGGTACACATAGTCATGCCCGGCGCCCTCCGCCCTGCCAGGGCAGACAGGGCGGCAGTTACCGCGGGCGGCGCGGCGGCGCTAGAGCTGCCGGTAGCCGGCACACACAGGCACACACACACCGTCGCCGCCGCCGCCGCCGCCGCCGGCACTCCACCAGCGCACGACACACACCGATGTTGCCACCAACACAGGGGGCACGCGCGCACAGCCGATCACGAGTGTGCAAAGAAAACTCCATCCTCACACCATAACCAAAGCAGTGTTGCGAAGCGCACATGCCACTGAAACAGGATGCGAACAACCAGTGTCCACTACAGGGAAGTTGGAATTCGATTTTGGTATGTGAGGAATGCAGTCGATTTGTCACTGAAAATGTATACAACTCATTCCATGTATATTTCGCAGTACTTTTCTCAGTTTGTCGACTACATCCTGAATAAAACAGGGCGTTCGACTTCATCGTCCAAATGTCCAGAATAGCAAGCAATGCCCACGGTGCCCAGGCCGCATCACGTGAACCACGAGGGCGGCAGCGTCCACCACGTACAGACCCTATCGTGCACGACACGCCGGAGCCATGATGTGCGCGTGGTGCGGAGCGTGTCCGACTGGCACGAGATCCGAGCAGCTGCCAGCGGCCGAGAACGGGACACCAGGACGGCCACATCGGAGGCCGCACCCTGCTTCGATTTCCCGATCAATCTCGACAGGACTATGAACAGCCAAGCGATTCGGTGCTTTGGTTCACTCTACATGTAAAGACACCAGAGCATCTGGAAAACAATCACCGAACTCTAGCCACCGGCAGTTCAGCCAACTCCGTTCACGAATTGATCGCGGCCGACAGCCGCTGCGATTACTGCAAATCTGTGCGCCGTGCGGAGGTGATCAGACGTGCTCAGCGCGGCCAGGTGCTCGGCGCGTCTGGTCGGGCAGCGGCCGCGTGTGGCCACACCTCCGTGCCCCGGCGCTCGGCGGGAGTTGCCGGAGCGGTCGCTGCCGTCGCTGCCACCCTCTCACTCTCGACTGCCAGCCGCGGTGCAGCGGTGCTGGAGCCACGCGGCCGGACTGGCCAGGATCATGCTCTCTGAGCGGGGAGGCCGGGACACGCACCTGGCGCGGATCGCCGGCAGGCGCGCCGGCGCTCGGCTCGGCAGTTCCGGCTCCACTTGCGGCAGCTCGCCGCCGGCCGGCCGCTGCGCCGCCGCCGGCCAGGCTCCGCTGCCGGACGGCGGCGTCAGTCGCAAGGCGCACAACACCGGCCGAGCCCCTGTTCTGGACCAGCGGGCCCACACCGTCCCACCGCAACCTTTCGTCTACCGACCGCTCCGCTCCTCAGGCAGCTCAGGTCAGGCCACACCCAGACTGTACATGATGCCTCGACATACCCCTGGGCACAGACGGGCAGCGCGCCCCCGCAGGCTTGACCTCTGTCCCGGCGCTACCGCAGCAGACAGGGGGGCAGGGGCAGGGGCATCCCTGGACGACAGGGGTAGAGGAGACATCGGCAGGCGTGGCGCGGTGCGGGCGGTAGGGGCCGGTACCTGGCCGGCAGCCGCTGTTCGGGCGGACTCTCGTCGCCCTCGCCCAGCCCCTTGAAAAGCTCGCTGATGCTGGGGGAGTCCAGGGCAGACCCGGCGGGGCCCTCGGCTGGCGGAGCACTGGCCGGCAGTAGCGACAAAGGTCAGAGCGGTCGGCGACCCGGCACCAGGTCACCAGGGCACGCGCCATTGCACTGGGAGGACTTCTGGCGCGTATTTCAGCTGCGATCAGTGCCGTGGCATGACCAGGATTGGAGCGCAGAGATCGGTGTTGTCCGTGACAACCAGTAGGCGTGGGGGACGGGGGCATCGACCGGCGCCGGAACGCTCGCCACATCATCGCGATGCAGAAACCAAGAGCCACAACCGTACACGCCTGGCGGCTGACGGCAAAGTCGACAGTCTGCTAGTGACGCCCACCAAACTGCCACAAAGCTACGCCTCGCATAGGACATTCTTATCCCCTCTCACGTTGGACACATTAGGTTTTTACGGATGGTTGCGCCGCGGTGCAGCGTCCGTCGTGTACCTCGGTGCCACGAGCAGCGGCGCCGGCAGGACCTTCGCTGAGTCGGCGGCGGCGGCCGGCGCCGGTCCCGGTTGCTCGCTGCGGACAGTCGGCGCCGCGTGACCCAGCGCCGTCCACAGCCTCCCGGCGACGGCGCGGCGCGGGCGCTCATGCCGGCTCGGCCCGTGGACGGCCGCCGCGCAGCTGGGCGCACGGCGGCCCACCGGAGCGGACGTGCCGCGCTCAAAGGGCGGCAGCCCACCGGAGCGGACGTGCCGCGCTCAAAGGGCGGCAGCCCACCGGAGCGGATGTGCCGCGCTCAAAGGGCGGCAGCCCACCGGAGCGGACGTGCCGCGCTCAGAAGGCGGCCGCCCACCGGAGCGGACGTGCCGCGCTCAGAGAGCGGCCGCACTGTTGTCCGGTGCTACACAGCAAATGGGAGGGGAAAAACACTGGCAGCAGACGTGTGAAGCTTCGGCCCAGCCTTAACTGACCTGGGATCCTCCTCTAAGAACGGATTTCCTGGAGAGTCGTCCGCAGTGATGACGGCCCCCGAGGAGGGCATGCTTGCGGGCAACAGGGTCACCATCAGCATCGTCAGGATCAACGAGAAATGACGCAGTCGAACAGCTCACGCCAGCCACCGCTCAACTCAGGCGCACATCCGAGCCACTGCCGACGATCGAGCGACGGAGGCGGGCGAGTCAGCCCGACTGACCTGTCGGCGGTCGCCGTCTCCTCGATAAACGGGTTCCCCGGCGACTCGTCGGCCGTGAGCGGACTGGTGCCGTCTCTTGCGGAGGGCGGATACACGTTACGACGCGCGGTGCGTGAGCTCCGTGCTCCCGGTGCGGTCACACGGGCACCCAACACGCGACAGGCGGCCACGCGGCCGCGTACACCCAGAACAGCAGACAACCCAATGGCAGACAGAGGCCGGACCAGGTGCCACACGGTAGAAATGGCCTTGTCAGCCGGTGCGCTAATACAACGTCGTGTCACGGGTGCGGCCATGAAGAGGCACACAGCTGACAGCAATCAGTGCGGTCCTGAGGACAACCAAAGTGGAATCGCAGAACCAAAACAACTGTCCGAACATCGGAATACGAAAACCACGAGGAGCCCGTCAGCCCGACGAGAGTTCACAACTAGTCACCCGGTGCAGCTGCAGTGGGAATCAGCTGCACCAAGAAACCAGAAAAGAAAGTTGGATGACCAAATATACGGTGCCGAGGCGGAACGCGAACAACCAATCAAACAAACAAACAAACAAAAAACAGAACTCGACGCCGTACCGATGCAAAAACGTGTCGTACTATTAACCGTTCACGAACACGTGACGGCACGAGCTCAGGTGGATGCAGTGCCGGGCACACAACTCGGGCCACCGCCTCCGCCCATGCAGCGGCGGCAGCGGCGCCGTCGACACCTGGCGCGCCGACCGGCCGCCCGGCAGACGCGCGCTACCTGGGCAGCGCGAACAGCTGCTTCTCTGGCTTCTCGCTCAGCCAACCGGGCGGCGGAGGACTGAAGAACTCGCGATGTAGCTGTCGCTCCGGCGGCGGCGGCGGCGGCGTGGCGGCCCGCGGTGGCGCAGTCTGCCAGCGCGTGACGAACGACGGCGACAGCTTGGGCGGGCCGGGCGGCGCGCCGGGCGGCCGTAGGCGCGAGCTGGATACACGGGACCACACGGGCAGGCCGAGCCTGGAGGCGCGGCGCCAGGCCGGCACACCAACACAGTGGCAGGCGTCACGCGCGCCACGTTCAGCCGCTCGAGGCTGGAGCTGGGGCTGGGGCCGGAGCCGGGGCCGGGGCCGGGGGCCGGGGCCGGGCCGGGGCCGGGCCGGGGCCGGGGCCGGGGCCGGGGGCCGGGGCCGGGGCCGGGGCCGGGGCCGGGGCCGGGGCCGGGGCCGGGGCCGGGGCCGGGGCCGGGCCGGGGCCGGGGCCGGGGCCGGGGCCGGGGCCGGGGCCGGGGCCGGGGCCGGGGCCGGGGCCGGGGCCGGGGCCGGGGCCGGGGCTGGAGCGGGGATTCGTATCACATCTTCTCACGGCCGGGAGGACTGCACCGGTCCCGGCTAGGCAGCTCGACTCCAAGCTGGTCTCTTCACACACGCAGGCACTGAGAGGGGTTCAGGGCACTGCTCGCGGGAACGAGCCACGCGCACTGGGAGGGGTTCAGGGCACTGCTCGCGGGAACGAGCCACGCGCACTGGGAGGGGTTCAGGGCACTGCTCGCGGGAACGAGCCACGCGCACTGGGAGGGGTTCAGGGCACTGCCTACGGGAACGAGCCACGCGCACTGGGAGGGGTTCAGGGCACTGCTCGCGGGAACGAGCCACGCGCACTGGGAGGGGTTCAGGGCACTGCCTACGGGAACGAGCCACGCGCACTGGGAGGGGTTCAGGGCACAGGGCAGTCTTCAGCCTACTTTTGCACGGCATTATGAGTCATTTCTGACGTAGCGTGGCGTAATTTTTGCTTGCCAACGGATTTTCATGTCAGTGGGTTTCTCTAGCCTGGCGGGGTATAGGTGCGAGTGGTGTCATGAATTAAGAAGGTAAGTTTACAGCACAGCACAACATAACAAGGCTAGAAAGTCATCTGCTTAGGAGGGCATCACTGGTGCACACTGCACGTTACTCGCCAAGTAGGACATGAACTAAAATACCGACTGCAGCTGAAATTCTACGAGATGTTTGTGGAAGAGAGTTGTGCGCCCAGATACGTGCCACCGCATGCTATCCCCGGCTGCAGCCATGCGCTGCTTCCGGCGCCTGTGCTGGAGCCGGCAGGGCGCGCTGCGAGGCCAGCCTGGACTGCCGACTGTGCGGCGGTCCCCAGCACCGGTCCAGTCGGGGGGCGGGAGACAGGTCAGCGCCGGCCGTGCGGGCAGCTCATGCAGCGAGCCGGACGGCCCACTCACCCGTCGCTGAAGGCGCCGCTCCACTCCTTCTCGCCCCACGGGTTCCGCAGGCGCACCATGTAGATCTTCTCGCGGCCCCTGCCGGGCGGCGCGGCCACACGGCACCCGTTAGCGGTCCACACCGAGCCTCCGGACGGCCGCCACGCGCCCCCCACAGATAGACGGTCAGGTCAGGAGCGGAAGGTGCTGGCTACAGTCTTTTATAGCAGCCGTGCAGCTGTGTACAGCCTTTTATAGCAGCCGTGCAGCTGTTGCCTTCCAGAGAAATATATACAAGACTGGCCGTCCAAACGTAGCTCGCCAGCCGCTTCACAAGAGAGACGAGCACATCGCTCATGCACATGTACATAACCCACGACTACGTTCCACTGTGAACTAGGGCAGGGACCCACCCGTCCTGGTCCAAATTCAAACAAATAGGCTGTCACGATGGTCGGCGCCGCCCAGTTCTCACGTGAAGAAGTTGACGAGTGTGGTGTTGCCGATGGGGACCTTCTTGATGGCGGTGATTCCGTAGGCGTGGCCCTTGACCAGGCCCATCTCGGTACGCTGCTCGACCTCCTCTCGGTTGCGCGCCTGCGGCAGGCAGAGCGCGTGCCGAACAGACCGGGACGCCATCGGTCCTGTCCAGCCTCCCACATTGCAAATGTTCCGGGGGCGGCAGACTGCCACTCCGGCCCGTCACCAAGCATGGCCCGCATCAACGGCTGCTGTCTGGTCTCTGTTCACCCCACGTACCGCTGTATGCCAGCGTGCCACTCGGGCGGCAGTGGCGGGCGCCCTCGATCTGCCAGCCCCTCGCCTGTCGGTGGCACGCGAGGCCTTTTCGTGTCGCGCGGCCTCATCCTGGAGCCGCCTGCCGCCGACCATCACCGCCTCTAGCACTCAAAATGAGTTTCGCACCAGGCCAGAGGATTTCGACGGTCCCGTTGTGTAATCATTGGTTGCTTGCCGTTGTGTAACATGTGCTGGCGATCCGGGTTTGGATTAATAATTTTGTTTTTGACGAAGAGGTGTGAGGTTCTGGATGATTTATAACATGCGAATGTGGTCGCGTTGTTGTCATGCTTGAACATTGCATTCATGCTACTACTGGAATTGTACGGAATCAAACAATAAGCCACTCGTTGGAATGATTTGCGCATACAGTGAACCAAGGAACCAAGGTTTATGGCGCTGTTTGCAAGATGACGGTGAATATTTTCTCTGCCTTTTCAAAAATCCTGGTTCAAGAGCAGTGTGCCAGCATGATATTTTGCAGGCTTTCACCGAGCCAGTGTGTCCATAACACGTTTGCCAGCAGCTTGTCTGCTCTGCTGCCACCGTGCTGGTCGCACCACTACAGATGGTGATACCCGATGCGCACGCCACTACGGGAGGCACTGGTATGGCGACCACAAACATCTGGCGAGACCAGTCGGGTCAGGCAGGCCGGGCCAATGTCGCTTGCCTGGCACACGCACGCGCACGCGCACGCGCACGCGCGCGCGCGCGCACGCACGCACGCACGCACGCACGCACGCACGCACGCACGCACGCACGCACACACACACACACACACACACACACACACACACACACACACACACACACACACACACACACACACACACACACACCAGCTGTGGCCTGCGCGACCCAATACACCGCGGTGCAAAATCATCAATCACTTCCCGACGCTGAAGGAACGAACGAAATACAACGCTCAAAACACGCCCCAAGCACCCGTGCTGTTTTGAAACCCATGCAGTCGGCATGCGACACCCGCCACGTCGTCATGATCCTTCCCTGGCTGGGCGTCACGGCAGGGGCGCGTACAGCGACAGGCGGGGGCACGTACAGCGACAAGCGGGGGCACGTACCGCGACAAGCGGGGGCACGTACCGTGACAGGCGGGGGCACGTACCCGCGACAAGCGGGGGCACGCGCCGCCACAGGCAGGGGCACGTACCGCGACAGGCGGGGGCACGTACCGCGACAAGCGGGGGCATGTACCGCCACAGGCGAGGGCCACGTACCGCAACAGCAGCGCACATCAACGCATAGTCGTCCATTTCGCGGCGCAGCTGCTTGAAGAGCTGCGTCTTCTTGGCCTCGTCGGAGCGGTAGCCGCCCTCCACCAGGTCAATGGTGACGGACACACCTGAGGTGAAGTCCACGAGCGCATCGCACAGGTTTCCGCCGTCCAGCGACTCGTATGAGGTGTTGATCCTGCCGCAGTAGAGCGGGTCAAGGGACGCTCAGTCACCCGTACGTGCTGCTCTTGTTGCTGGACAGGACGGGCGGCAAGCATTCCCGAGACTCGTTTGGTGTGCCCATAATGCTGAAGGACACCAGAGGTCAACGTCGCCGTGTGTGTGGTCAAGTTTTGCTCCAGCCGCGGGACAGGAAGCGGTGCGATTAGCAACATGAAGGATTAAGGACGGCAGTCACAGGCCAACCACGGAGTGAAGACCGCGAGTCCGGAGTGTAGGCATTTGGGTGTGGGAGTAGGTAACCTTACATTTTTTAGTTTAAATCCCTTATTTTACCGGTTCAAGGTGTCTTCGGCAGTCAAACAGGACAAGGTTCATGTTTTCAATGTCACGTCAAGTGATTTCCTCGTTTTACGTGAGACCACTAAAACACAACGTAATCGTTTTGGCCCTTCCCCCCCCCCCCCACATCACACAACCTGACCAACTCTGAGTATTTCTTGCTAACCGACTAGCTCACCAGCAGAGGCGGCCCCTAGCCCATATGATGCCCTTGCATAATTTTCCTGAAACAAATCTATTCCCTGTAAATAGGTCCCGACAGGCTCAGAAGTTGCTTCTGTGGCTTCACGAAGTCCTTTTAACCGCGAAGTGGTGTCATTATCATCTTTACCCCTTCACTGCGATGATTGAAGGTTCGCTGGAAACACAGCCGTGCGTGGGAAATAAGTCAGGGCAACGACTTAGACATGTGCATTACTGCTCCTGTTCTGCAGCGTGTTTAGACCCACCCCCCCCCCCCCCCCCCCCCCCCCCAACACGCCCCCCACTCCCCCCCCCCCCCCCCCCCCCCCCCACCCCCCCCCCCCCCCCCCCCCCCCCCCCCCCCCCCAACACCGCATGTCCTCCCTTCGGTCATCTCAATTCAGCCTCTGCACCTCCAGCCCGGCATGAGCTCAAAGCCTTGACCACTCGGCCACTTAAAACGGCCGACTAATACTACATGAAACGCCTAATATCTAACTGAACCACGTCCATTCATTCCTGGCCCTCCAGAACCCATGGAGCGTAGCAAGTGCGTGGCAAGCGCCTCTACTGCAGCGATATCAAGAAACCGTGCCCATGGAGACCGGGCACAAACACGCGCCGGGCAAAGGTCGCGCGGAACGCTTAATGGGTACGACGAACCGAAACAGTGCGGCCCACACCGACTGATCGATACACTCGCGCGGTAACAGGAATCGTGGGTGGTGGGTAATGCACGGCGTCCACAAACACACCACTACGATTCGGAAAATACGTGAAGCCGACCTCGCGTGCTCCGTGTTTGTATGAGGCGATAGGTCCCTGTCGGCCAGGCGGCGGCAGTTCGACACGGGCCGGTTCGGTGGCCGGCGACGGCGGCGAGCCGGCAGCTCACTTGGCGTAGGCCTTCTCGAGCAGGGCGGACCAGAACTCGCTGCGCTCCCGACTGTGCGTGTAGATCAGCTGGCCGTTGACGGTCGGCAGCAGGTCATCGATGACGACGTCCATCCACTCGCCGAACCGCCAGAACCTGGGCGACAGTGGCGGCCGTCCAGTCCAGTGTATAGCGAGCGTGTCCACAGCCTAGCTCGGACGGCCGTCACACGCGCGCCAGCCTCCCCCAGCTGACCTGTCACGGCGCCCCTGTCCCCCGCCGGCGTTTTCAGCGCCCATTGTCGCACACACCGACGGGCCGAGAGCCGCTCAGCGGCGTCCGGTGATGACCTACCGGGTGCAGGGCACCCTGATCCCCCCGAGGCTGCCCCCTCTGCCTTGAACCGGCCGCAGAGACGTGCCGGCGGACGACGCGCGCAGCTCCCGCGCCGTGGGTGACGCCGTGCGTACACGGCGGCGTACCTGGTGACCTTCGACCAGGCTCCGTGCCGCCGGCGGAACGTGACTAATGCACAACGTTGATAGCGCACCAAACGACCGCTCGGTATCAAAACCGTGCAGCCAGCGCACGAACCGTACATTGTTACCAGCCCCACGGCTGTTCGCGTGAGTAAACGTGTGGTAGCCCTAGGATTTAGAGGCCTAAAATTAAGCCCCACGTACCGAAAATGAAATATGCCGGCGTAGTTTTTCGGGTTTTCAGTGCTGTACTCCTGCTCTTCGTAGTCTGGGATGACCTGAAAACATGCACACTAGCTCACGCCAAGACCGGGAGTCACTGTTGATCGCACTCCGCGCTTGCCGCTGCTCCAGAGGGTTCCCACACTACCAACGGTCAACAATGACGACCATGACGATACTGTCAATCGTCAACAATTCCCGCCACTTAACCAGATGGTCAAACGGTATTAACTGTCAATAACGACGGCGCGTCTCGGACTCCGCTGCCGTCTACCAGCGCCACCGGAGCGGCGGCCCACCGCATGCGGGGCGGCCCCGGAGTGCGGTACCACTGTAGAGCCAGCGGGCGGCTCGGACCCCGGTGTCCGGGCCCTGGCCAGCTGGACCACTCACCTTATGCCAGAGCACCTTGACGCCGGCCAGCACCGAGCAAGCGGCCACGAACCAGCAGTTGCCCAGCTGTCCCTGCGTGACGTCACCCGTGCCGATGCCGTCGACGAAGAGGCGCGGCTTCTCACAGATCTCCTGCGGCGTACCGTGGCCGGCTCAACCACCGGGCGACCTCCGGTTCGACGGGTATGTCGAAAGGGCCCTCTGACTACGGGATAGACGACGCGCAGCCTGCACATCTCCCCCCCCCCCCCCCCCCGGGGGGCCGAAGCGCCGCCAGCTGCATACCTCTCAATGCCACGTCGGTGTTAACTTGCATCTGAGCCCAACCGCAATGTCTTCAGCCGCCATTGGAGACAACGCCACGCCAAACAGCGTGCGTCAGCCGACGCCCTTAGCAAGGCAAAGAACGGTACTGGCATCGCGTCGGAAGTAAGCACATAGAACACAAATTCGAATACATGTCAGGGAAGGTATCTTACGCTGTCCTAAAAAAAAAAAACAGAAGAAAGCGCTCCCTAACAGAACACTCAGGCTGAGTGGTGGGGGTGTTACAGGCATCAGTTTATATGATTGTTTGTATGAGTTTACTGCGTCGGGTCCGACTGCGCCCGAGCACTGCGTCAGATCTAACCCCAGTGTCTTGGCAGTGTTCCTTCTCGGATTATCTCCAGCTCAGACCATGCCGACGTGACCTGTGCTCAGACCACTGGACTCACATGAGGCCGCTTCCAGACGACGTTGGCCACGCCAGAGCCCGACGGGCTGATGGACCGGGCGGCGGCCGGGAACTCCGAGTCGGTGAAGAGCACGCCTGCCGCCGAGCACTGCGTCAGGTCCGACCACGGCCGACACAGCAGCCACAGCCGACGCCACCGGCCTCTGTCGTTTCAGACTCCGGCCAACACGGCAGCCACAGCCGACACCACCGGACTCTGTATCGGGTCAGGCCACGGCCGACACAGCAGCCACAGCCGATACCACCGGACTGTGTCGGGCCAGACTCCAGCCGACACAGTAGCCACAGCCGACACCACCGGACTCTGTGTCGGGTCCGACCACGGCCGACACAGCAGCCACAGCCGACACCACCGGACTCTGTGTCGGGTCAGACCACGGCCGACACAGCAACCACAGCCGACACCACCGGACTCTGTGTCGGGTCCGACCACGGCCGACACAGCAGCCACAGCCGACACCACCGGACTCTGTGTCGGGTCAGACCACGGCCGACACAGCAACCACAGCCGACACCGCCAGCCTCTGTGTCGAGTCAGACCACGGCCGACACAGCAACCACAGCCGACACCACCGGCCTCTGTGTCGGGTCAGACCACGGCCGACACAGCAACCACAGCCGACACCACCGGCCTCTGTGTCGGGTCAGACCACGGCCGACACGGCAACCACAGCGGATTTTGTCGGGTCCCATCCCAGGCAAATCAACAGCCACAGGTGATAACCGCTGGACATTGTGTCTAGGCTACACCCCAGCTGACTCACTGCCCCAGTGGAGCTGTGGCTACAGCAGTGTCTACACTACACTGCAGTATGTAAAGACAAAGCATGCATAGATCAAAGTGTCATAATCGCCCTCATAGTCAGGACAGGTATCCCTGCAGCAGTATAGTTAGGGCAATGCTGGAGGCCTTATGGTCATGTCATCACATAGCTGTTCTGTCACATAGCATTGCTATCTTGGTAATATCTTCATTTCAGGTTTAAACCAGGCACAACACATCATGTGATATGCTTCAGTGCTACCATTTGACCTATTTGGTCTCCCCTGCATGCTCACCTGCTCCCTGACATTTTTTCTTTAGTTTGCTATAATCTTGACCTTTGAATTTCTTGATGCTTGAGAAGATGCCCATTTTGCTACACTACAACTGAAAAAACAAGGGGCAACTGAGTCATTATTCTGAGAATCCTCCAAAACTGCTTGAGTATGTTGTGAGCAGACAAGTAACGCCAATTCCGCTTGTCAGTTTTTTGTTGGTTAGGGTGTCTGCCTTACGATCTGCCCACTTGAGGCAGAGTGGCTTGAATTGCTTCAGGCAAGCAGTTCAGGGTGCTCACTTATTGCCCGGTGACTAGGATGGCATGCGGCCAGCGGCATCATGCAGTCAGTGGCATTCTCTGTGCTGGACGCTCACATAACTTTGGCCAAGTTTTGCACTTTGCCATTGAAAGCAGTTGCACTAGAAGTCAGGTGATCTTAGAGGGAAAGCAGCTGCACTAGAAGTCAGGTGATCTTAGAGGGAAAGCAGCTGCACTAGAAGTCAGGTGATCTTAGAGGGAAGGATTTAACATGGAGACCATCGCAACATATCAAAGGGAGTGCTCCACGTCTGTATGGGTTTGAGCTGAAATAGCCATCTTAAAGATCATTTGGTACAGTTCACAGGCCTGCCCTTTCTAAGGTCTAAGCTCCTCTAGCGTACGAGCTTCACGTCCACAAAGATGATTGAACTATTTCAAGGTCACCAAGGCATGCATGACACCATATCATCCCAACTCATGAAAATTGTTCCACAGACTATGAAGCGATAAGATCAGGGCCAACAACAATATAGTTGTTCACCCTATTGATATTTTAGTGCTAGCGAGTACATTTCTAGAAAATGGCAGTCAACTGGCTCTCAACCAATGTTGTGCAAGGCACAATGAAACAATGAAAATTGACATACCAAGGATTATATCTGCCAAATGGAGAAATTGTGTAGTCATGAGCAGCCTTTCACACTTAACAAGTATCCAAATAGTTATGACTTTATTCATCATATCTGGATGAGCCAGATGAGCTACTGGCTTTGAAAATGGGATGGACTAGGGAATGTTTCCATGTGCCCAGGATATCTGAATGGGCAAGGCAAAAGCTGGCAGCAGGCTTGACTCGAGATTTCAGAACATTCAATGGCACACTTATAAATCATGTGGGCTAAAGTGACACAAGTTGGCAATGACTTTACGCACGATGTCACAGTCACGGTTTTGAACGATGCGCATATCTAAAAGACAACCAGTGAAGGAAATCGACACCATTACAAGCTGGTCAAGAGAGTGATCAGTTAATTTTTTTAACTGCCGACGTGCTGAATCACTGTGGTCATTCCGCAAATCACAGGTCAGATCACCACGGATGACGAGCAGGACTCCGGGGCAGTCAATCAGCACGCACTGCAGCTGGGTCTTCAGGACCGCAAAGTTGTCTTGTTTGGCAGCTACTGTGTGCCGGGGTGGACGGTACAGCGAGCAGATGACGAGCTAGCATCCCAGCTCGAGCTTCAGCAACGCCCACCGTGACTTCAACTTGCTGCCCTGGATCTGATGTGTCAGCAGCCGCAGTGCCGTCGACTTAATGCTGTTTTTTTGTCACGACAGCGGCGCCGCCGTCGTCCCGTCAATCCAGATGGTCAACCCGGCTGATGAAGTACCCGGGGATCGCTACGAGTCGGCTGGGCGTGGTGGGATGCGGCGTCGTAGCCGTGGCGTTCTGAGTCCTTTGGTGACCTCCGGAAACGATGTACAGGCCGACGTCGTTCGCCTTCCATCCATCACTACCCCCCACCATCCATGGTACTGGGGCCGCTGGCCCCCACCACCAAAACCCGGCATGCCAACCAGCCAGGAGCAGATGTGTCAGGAGGGATAATGCTGTAGGGGAGAAACTGAAGCCATAGCAGATTTTGTTAAATTAATTGGAAAATAGCTTCATGTTAGCATATATTGTTGTTTACTGAGTCATTGAACCTTTTGCAGCACTCCTTACACAAACATTTTGGTGTGTTGTTAACATTAGAGAACACACAGCTTGCAAAAAGCAAGGTAAATGAAATGTATTACCTTCATAGTGGTGAGCAGGGAGTCAACTGAGCTTTCTCCTGCAGGGCTGAGTACTTCAAATCAAGATTCTGAGTTACTCAGAAGGCTTTCAAGAAGAAACTGTCATCTCTAATCAAACTATGCATCTGACATACCAATAAAAGAAAAGTACAAGAAAGGTGGCATCCTCCACTTAAACTTCAGCAACACAAGTCTGGTGTTGGCCTGAGAATCTGTAGCTTAATGGTTGTGTCATGGGCCCAGGGTCCAAACAGCTGCTGCTTGGCATAGACAGTGATTGCAGAAATTCTAGTCTATGAAAAATGTATCCACTGTATTGGAAATCTAAACAATGCTGGTGCCCTGAACCTCTTACATGACCTGAACTCAAGCTAAACCAAACAGCACTGAATTTTTTTTAGTTATTATGGCCTGAAGTGACTATTTTTGCCTGCAATAACCTTCACATCATCATTATGTGAAATACTGGCTCCTTTCTTTAACATTTATGGTGACAGTGTCCAAACTCTGAGTACTCAGATTTATGGTGCACATGCACTTCAGTATTGGCCCAAACATTGCTATCATGATGGCTGTGTTTGGCACAATCTCTATTTTTGCAGTCTAGCAGAAATGCAGCCAATAACACAGCTTGGACTTAATAATTTGAATGATGGCATTTCTTCTTGCTGCCCTTTAAAACAACTGGAAATGGCTATAAGGTCATAAAAGAAGAATGCATGTTTAGCATGAGGATAATTTAAGAAAATATCACAAAAATGACCATAACCATGCATCTTTCATGACTGGTACAGCATGCTGCACACCAAATACCAGCCAAGCATTTTTGGTTATCATTTATAACAATGACAAATTGTTTTTACCTGCTGCTACCACTTCTGGCTCCTCTCTCCAATCTTGGCAAATCTCTAGCAACTAAAAGCTCCTCAAATGCACACTCTTCAAACAGCCTACACATCTACACTTTTATTCATTCAGCCTCTATGGCATGATCTGCAATGCTCCCTAACACACATAACATGACCTTGCACATGACTGGCATAAGGAAAGGACAGGAACATACCAGGCAACAAAATCTGTAGGGCCAGTGCCCGCGCAAAAAACGACAAGTAGGAAATCAAACGTTCTGTGTTCTGTGCATCGCAACACATGAGTCAACACTGACTATAAAGATCGAAAAACGGGAATTCATTATAAACACAACCACACACCGACCTGCCACTCCCAGCTTCACCGCCCAGTCGTATCTGTATTGGTAACACCAAGGCCGCCACACGTTAGTCAGCGTCAATAAACGCCGATACTGCGCTACTCTCACCACATTCCTCACTTCCGGATCTATTCGTTTCCAAGTCGCTAGAGACTTTTGCCTGAAGACTTCTGCGGGTATTCGGTGGCATCTTGCTGCCGCTACCTTCGAAATTTCCCTAGTTTTGTTTGGCCCTCGGCGAACAGCGCAGGCGAGTGCTGTGAAGTCTCGCTGGCAAGTTCGATGTGGCGGTGGATAGAACAATCGCTGCACAACTTAAGACGTAAGGTATATCACCCGTGCAAATAATGGAGCAGCTGCTTACGTAGATATTTAGAGGGAGTGTTCCACATTTGTAGGGGATTTTTTAACTGAAATAGGCTTGAAGATCGCTCGGTGCAGTTCACAGACCTTCTCATAAAACCTAGGGAGCGTGTACACGCGTCCTAAAACCTAAACCCGTCTAGTTTCTGAGCTGCACGCCCGTGAAGATGTCCAGGGTGCTTCGGGGTGGCCATTTCAAGGGCACCCAGGCATCCGTGACGCCATACTAAGACATTCCAATCCCGCCATTTAACTAGCCATGTGGCGATCAAGGCCAAAAATAATATAACTGTTCAGTCGTTCACATCCAGGTGTTCGTGAGCACGATTTTCAGATGTTATGGTCAACGTGCTCTTAATCAATGTTATGCATGATGCGATAACGTAATCGAACAATGACGATTTGAGCAGCGTATTTACCAAACAGAGAAACCGTGTTGTGTGGGGCAGTCTTTTCCACTTAAAAGTACACTAACACTGGTAAGTGAGTTTGATCCATTATTTATAGGAAGCGATTATAGGTACAGCCGGTGGAGTTAACATGATTCATTTTTGGTGAAGCCTGTTACTGCATAAGGCCCGATAACATCCAGCGAAGTGGGCGGCAGGCGCATTTTCAGTAGCGCTGCCTGTAACTTTCATGACGCTACCCGCGGCGGTGGCGCCGCCTACGCCGCCGCTTGCAGGTGACGCCGTCTACAGTGCTTCTTCCCCCAAGACACGCCCACGAAGTGGATGGGGCGGTGACGCACTGGCGGGTGCGCCGCACGTCCCGAGCTCGTGCGGAGGATGGAAGGCGTCATGGCAGGCGCGTTGGCAGTTAGGGCGACCGCACCGCTCAGGGGCGGGGAGCGGTCGGTTCGGCTCGCAGGCCGGCGGGGCACTGGCGCGGTAGGAGCAGCAGCAGCGGGCCGTCATCGGGAGGCGGACGCGGCGCTAGCGTCGGCAGAGACCGGGGGCGTCCGCCGCTCAGTAGTGCTAGGCCATCTTTCATGAACGTTGATTTCACGCGGTCGACGGACACGGTATCCTGGCTGGTGCCCGGTCGACGGTGACGGTCTTCTCCGCGCAGCTCACGACCAGGAACGGGCCGTCGCAGGGCCACAACAGCGGCGGCTTCACAGCCTCATGCCGGACAAGCACGTGTGACGCGTCCGCGAGCGCGCTTGGAACGAAACTGTGCGCGTCGGTCGTTCGCCGGGGCGTTGTCGGTCGCGGCGCCTGCATGGTGCGGTGCAACTGGGCGGCGTACGACGCCGGGGCTGGTGTCTGGGCAGTCCGTGCTGAGTCGAAGAACTCGCCCGGCGGAGCGGCGTAGACGAGGTCGGTGGCACTGCACTGGAGGTCGGTCTTGAGTGCTAACCGGAAGCCGAGCAGCACCAGCGGCAGGGCGTCCGTCCACCGGGGCGTGGCCGCGCAGCGCAGGGCCGTCTTGAGCTGCCTGTGCATCCGCTCGACGAGCCCGTTCGATGGCTGGTGATAGCTGGTTGTGCGGATGTGTGAGCAGCTCCGGAGCGCGGTCAGCTCAGCCCATGACGCCGACTGGAATTGCCCGCCACGGCCGGTGGTGATGCGGCTGGGTGCGCCACACCGGACGACTCATCCGGCGATGAAAGCGCGGGTGACGTTGGCCTCCGTCATGTCACGGATCGGCAAGGCCTCTCGCCAACGGATGAACCGGTCGACAATGGACAACAGGTAGGCATGGTCGTCATTTGGCGGCAGAGGTCGCACGATGTCCACGTGCACGTGGGCGAGCCGGTCACTGGGAGGGGCGAACACGTCCATAGGCGAGCGTGTGTGTCGTTGCACCTTCGCATCCTGGCACGTCTGGCAGGTTTGGGTCCTCTTCCGAGAGTCTCTCTTGACAGAAGGCCGGATGAACCGGCTGGTGACGACCTGGACGGTAGCTCGCTGCCCGGATGCGACAGGTCGTGCACGTGCTAAAAGTAGGCACGGCGCAGCGGCTCTGGGATCCGCGGACGCATTGTGCCGGTGGAATCATCCACCACGAGCGTCGGGCCACTGGGCGGGTTGTCACGCAGCTGTAAACCGTGATCAGAGACGCGGAACTGGATGAGCTAGTCGTCTACCTGCTAAGCGGCCGCCAACGCGTCCAAGTAGGCAACGGCTGGCTCAGATGCGAGAAGCACGTTGACGGCACGGGACAGCACGTCAGCGGCGACGTTCATCTTGCCCGGCACGTGGCGGATGTCGGTGGCGAACTGTGAGATGAAGTCGATGTGCCGGGCCTCGCGCGGTGAGTGCCGGTCGCTGTTGCACGAGATGGCATGGGTCAGCGGCTTATGGTCGGTGAACACGATCAGTGGCCGCCCCTTGACGGCATACTGGAAGTGACGGATGGCGAGGTAGATCGCCAGCAGCTCACGGCCGAAGGTGCTGTAGCGCCTCTCGAGCTTGCACAGGGAGCAACAGAAGAACCCGAAGGGCTACAGCGTCCCTGGACGTGCTGTTGCAGCACTGCGCCGACGTCCCGGTCAGAGGCATCGACTTGGAGGCTGATTGGTGCGTCAGGCGCTGGGTGAAGGAGCAGCACCGAGTCCGAGAGCGCCGTCTTGCAGCGTGCGAACGCCTCTTTGACCTCTGTGGTCCAGGTTACCTCCAGCTCGCGTCGCGACTGGGTCTTGGATGTGATCAGAGCGTGGAATGGGAGCGAGCTGCTCGGTCGCCGATGGGATAAAGCGGTGGTAGAAGTTCAGCATCCCGATGAATCGACGGAGCTGGCTTCTGTCCGGGGCAGCATGAAGTCGCAAATGGCGGCCACCCTGGACGGCAGCGGAGTGATGCCCACCGGCGTGATGAGGTGTCCCAAGAACTCCAGCTGAGGCGCCCCAAGGACGCACTTGGGCCGGTTGACCACGATACCAAAGTCGTTTAGACGGGGGAAGATGTTCCGGAGTCGGCGTTCGTGGTCGGTCAGGGTGGCGCGGGCCACCAGCATGTCGTCTATGTACACGAAGACGCCGGCTAGTCAGTGGAGGACCTCGTCCACCAGGCGTTGGCACTTTTGGGCAGCACGACGAAGCCCGAACGGCCTACGCGTTGCCTCATATAAACCGAATGGGTTGATGATGGTTGCATTGTCAATGTGGGTCGGCTCCACTGGAATTTGGTGGTTAGCTCGGGAGAGGTGCAGCTTTGAAAAGAAATTGCGGCCGTCTAGGTCTGCAGTGAAGTCCTGGAGGTGTGGCACAGGATACCGGTCCGGATGGTGACTGCGTTAAGGGCGCGATAGTCGCCACAGACCCGCCAGCGGCCTGACTGACACTTGGGCTCCAGGTACAACGGGGTCGCCCAACCGTTCCTGGAGTGGCCGCCGTCTACAAAAGTGACTAGGTTATTAGCCGCTTACATTTTGAAGAACCCTTGAAATGTGCTGACCTCCACTTCGACGTGAATACTCGATGGAACAGTTACGAGAACTTGACGATCGACACCAGCTGACCAAACTGATAGCGATCATGCCGACGATGACATGGCTAACGTTAGGGCTGAGTTATTGTCTGCACCCTGCCTACCGAATACCAGCCGACTTTTCCCAGACAGCCTCTGATAGTCGCGTACCTACCTCCATACATACCTCCTACCATACATACCTCAACTTGTACTCTCCGCTCCCGAAGCTGTACGCGTTTAAGAAGTCTGAAGCTGCATGACATCGACCTTACGTCAATTACCGGAACCTGTTTCCGACAATCGACGTCAAACAAAATGATAATGTAGCCCAGCGTCAACATCTTCTGCCAAGGCAGAGCAAGGAAAAGTATTAAAACAGGCATGTAGTTTTGCTGTTCGGTTGGGAACTTCAAGGAAAAAAACTGTTTTTAGTGTATTTATGGCTAGTTTCGCCCCGCTCAAACCCCCTCCCCTCCCCGGGCCAATGCTGCGAAATTACAACCCTGTGGTGGAGGCGGACTCGTCAGAGAGCACCAGCACCAAACAGTCGGCTTCGTGTCGGTCTGAGCCCTGGGAGCCCATTTCCCTAACAGGGACAAGGTCGGGGCCCGCGATTTGCCTTGGTTGGGACCCCTCAAACAATGCAAGTTTCTGTGTCGGCCAGGCCCCCGCAGTGCTTAACGGAGGGTTCTATGTCGGCAAGGGGCCCTGAGTCGGTCTGGGTAACATTTGCTGAACAGGAGTAGGAACGGGACCCCGAATGCTAGAAGGTCATTTGTGTTAAAAGGCTTTCACAACGAACGTTATGTGAGATTTTTCAATCAGGGGCCAAAGGGTGGCAATGGAATGCCCAGTGACAGCCAGTGATCCTAGCACAGAACGGCGAGCTCCCCATCCTATTTTAGGCAGGGGCTCGTTTTGCTGAACTGGAGTCGCTGTGCCAATTATTCGACACCTGTGGCGATAAGTGAGCCATGTGCGTCAATGAGGGTCCTGCGTCTGTCCGGGACCAAATACTGGGTTCAGGGGACTGCGGCGTCAGGCGGTAGACCAATGTATGACTTATCCCTCTATGGACCTCCGCATCTACCTGGGGACTCCCGCCTCCGAGTCGACAGCATGACAGCCGTCAGCCACCTCGCGCTGTAACGGAATGGCCCTTCACGTTAGTCCCTGACCGGGAAATATCATGTGCCCCTAGTATAGCACCCACTGGGCCTTTACCCGGAAAAGGTAGGCGTATCCTTAGTTTTCGATAGGTCGGATCCAAATGAGGTAAAATGAAAAAGGCCAGTACAAATGAGAGCCTCCATCCTTGC